CACAGAACAGTTTTTAAAAAAGCAGAAAACAGCACCTTACCTCTCTCTCTCTCTCTCTCTCTCTCTCTCTCTCTCTCTCTCTCTCAGAAGCAGAAGCAGAAGCGAGGCAGTCCCATGCCTCCTCTGATGCACACTAACTGCTACAAAGAAGCATCCTCCTTGCCACCTACAGTTAGCAATTTGAATTTCCCGCCTTGTTTCCCTGCCTTTTTCTGTTCATAAGTGGAAGCTCCAGTCAAAAGTAGAAGCAAAATTTTGCAGCCAGAGCTGGTCATAACTCAAAATGGTCGTTAAGTAGGGACATTCCTAAGTCGAGGCACCACTGTATTAGAGTCACCATACAGATGAAACTTAGGGGGGCACATCACACACACACTCACACACACACACACACACACAGGTTTAATATTCTTTGAAACTGATAAGAGTTTTGGACCTTGAGCTTATATTGTTAATTTTTAAAAAGTTAGCAGTTGCCAATCTCTTTATTTAAATGAGCAAAAGCTCATGTCACTTATCTATCTGAAAGTTACTATATTGGTAAAGGAACAGGACTGAAGCGGCACTGAAGACATCCATCAAAACTTACTCTGATATTGAATCCCAATAAATCACTTATAACACCAGAGACAGCAGACAGGATAACCACACGTGTAATGTTATAGATTAATGGATTCATTGTCAAGCCATACAGTCTAAATGGTGTATCTAATTCCTGCAATAAGAAAAGAAAGTTAATGTGCTGGCCTTGCTGCTTCTTGCACATCATAAAGAAGCTGCCATTCATTTTTTAGTACAGTAGGGCCTCCTTATCTGTGGGATCAGTATCTGCTGATTTATTTATCTATGGTCTGAACAAATTAAAAATATTAAAAGAAAATTCCTAGAAATATATCTTTCTAAAAATGAAGTTACCAGAACTGGCCATTAGAGAGAGACAGAGATCATGCCATGCATAACATTCACTAGAGAACTCTATTTCCACTATGCCATTACAAAAATGCTACTAGAAGGAACCAGAGACCATGCTATGTATAGCATTTGCTATTAAAATAGCATTTGCTATCATCCACATTTTTCAGCACCTGTAGTGGAGTTTGGAACCAATCTCCCCTTGATAGAGGTGTCCTACTGTAATACTCAATTGACTATTAACAAATAACTGCAAAGGGCTATACTGTTCTTACCCACTCACCTTCAGGAGCTTGGTAGAGAGTTTTAGGACATTGTTCACTAGAGTGAGCTGCTCTTTTTTATTTGGCTTCTTTTCCATCTTTAGATATAAATTTATCTGTAAAATATTTTAAAAGCAAATTATTACACTCACATGCTAATTCAAGTCTACTGTAACAACAGAGACAGCAGGCATTTCATTTGTAACACAGGCCTCCTATAGAGCCAGCATAAATGTAGCTGCAGAAAACATTTAACTGAATCCACTCAATACTTGCTTTCTAATAAAAAAAGTGTATTTAGCTTTGAGAACAGTTATCGGAATTGCATGCCTCTTTCATTACTAGCAACAGACCTCAAAGTACTGTATATAAGAGATTAATGACAAATCTTAGAAAGCAAATTTCCAGATAAATTCTGGATGTAGGTTCCTTTCACCAGGAATATGTGCTATCAATATGACAAGTAGAAAAAGGTTTGCAAGAGTCTAAATTTCTAAAGAATGGCTTGTTAAACATGGGGATTTAACAAGATCATGTATTTTCTCCTTTTTGCAAGGAGCGGAACAGGCAGATAGGGTGGAGGAAGCAAGACTACAAAACTATTTAGGGTGTTAACTGCCAATCTTTTAAGGGAGGAGTGGCTACAGTGCAGTCAGAAGGGTGATGTTGCTGGTCTCCAGTGTGCCCCCCCCCCCGATTCTATACTCCTAAACCCCAATTCTCTTGCCACCAGTTAGGGGATGCCATAATTTGCCATTTAAATATGTGTTTACCTATAAAAAGGCTTTCAAGATTACAAATCTAAGGATGTGGATAATCCTTCTATAAATATAATAGGATAATAATCTTAGAATTGTAGAGCTGGTTTGGACTGTATAGATCAGTGGTTGCGAACCTTTTTGGGCTCACATGCCCAAACGGGGGGGGGGGCACCGGAACCGGAAGTGGTAGCGGAAGGGGGAATCCCAGGCACAGAGGTGCCTCAAGACCCCACTCCGGATCTGCCACTAGCACCAGCTGCTCCGGATCCTGACCAGCCACCCGTCTGGGCACCAGCACCGTGGTTGCAGCCGCCTGCTCCGGTTTGACTACCGGGGGGGGAGTAGTGATCCAGCAACTTATGGCTCGCGTGCCGGCAGAAAGGGCTCCGTGTGCCTGGTGTGGCACACGTTCCATAGGTTCGCGTGCCGGCAGAAAGGGCTCCGCGTGCCTGGTGTGGCACACGTTCCATAGGTGTGCCATTGCTGCTATAGATCATGGTCCAACCCCTGTCTCTGGTGGCACAGTGGGGAATCAAACTTCCAACTTTTGGCTCTGCAGCCAAAGACCTAAAACCTTCTGGAGCTGCAGTTTACAATGTTTCAGCAGAATACATTCTGTGTAGTGATGTCAAAGAGGCATTTGGCCCTCCAAGTTTTCTTATTTTTATTTATTTATTTGTTAGATTTATATCCCACCCTTCTAGACAATCTCTACTCAGGGTGGCTTACAATAAAACATATCATAAAACAGTTAAAACAGTTTGAGTCAATTAACAGTTAAAACAATTTGAGTCAATTGTATCAGTATTGTTTAAGATGGGCAATGTGAGGAAAAAGCTAAAGTAAGAAGTAAAAGTTCTGACAGGAGGGAAGGCCTGCCTAAAGAGCCAAGTCTTTAATTGGCTCTTAAAAACTTTCTAAAAACTTTTTTAAAAATGTTTTTTTTAAAAATTAAAAAGTTCCACAAGAAGACAAAAATGACTCCCTAGGTGCCCAAAACATTGCCTGTTTGTGCTTTAAATCTGATCCTTGCTCCAGCCTGCCTTGTTTTCATTAATGTATGTGTACATACTCTAGTTTCTCTACAGCAATAAGCATTCAAAACATGTCAAAGAAGGGTAAGCATAGTACAAAATACCTGCTCAGTGAGCAGGATTGAAATATTACTATATTTCTTGTTGGTTTCAGAACCCAGGGATGCCAAACGCAACAAGAAGAGTAGCAGGGCTGTTTCCCAGAGAAGGAATTCCCAGTTGTAAGCAGCATTCAAGAATGTTTTGTGACCTTTTAAAACCTACCAAAAAAAAAAACACAACAACATGATAAAAGTCAGCAGACTGGAATGTTCCCTTTTACTATCTAATTTGTTCTGCTACAGTAGCTGTGGTGATTTCTTCACAAGGCAATTGTGGGCCCTGCTCTGCAAAAACACCACCACCCTGTCTCTAAAGAAAATAGAGAACTGGAGCAGCACGTTACCGTGACAAACATATTCTCAAACCTCCAAATGAGAGGAAATAAACAGAGAAGAGCTGCAAGGATGGCTGTAGGATATTATAATCCTTTCCTCTCTCCCTGCTCCTCCCCTACTTAGGTCCTCTTGCTTGGCTCCCCCCTCAGCTATTTGTAGTTCACTATTCCTCCGCCCTGGCCACACATTTGCAAAGGCAAATCCAGGCATGGGGAAATGATGATGCAGCCTTTTCCCAACTTTTCCCAAGTCTTTCGTGCAACTCTTAGCTCTCACATTTATCTTATAATGTTTATTCTTCCAGAAAACAAATGTCTGAAGCACTTTTGGTTCCACCACAAAAACAAGTCTGGTAATACATTATGTTTTTCAGCAAAGAAAGCATATAATACAGTAAATGGCTTAGTAGAGGCAAAACATCCAAGTGGCCTACATCCCTTCCTAGGGCCCTGAAGGAGATGCTTTTATATCTTCTGCTATGCAACTGTCTCCAGGCTACCCAGCTGTGACCAGGAACCTAAACTATAGGAGAAGACAAATGTCAGCTGATGCCATTAGAAGCAGCCCCACCACATGGCTCCTCTCTCACTAGGTATATACCGGTGTGACTTAATCATACTTGTTCACTTAGTTTGGGAATCAGCTTTAACTTGAAAGAACGTATCTAGGGAATACACAATTGTGGAATAAGTAATACAAAGGAAGCAACAGTAAAGATGGGCATGAACTGCTGATTTAACAGTTCATGCCATTTTGTTTATCGGCCTGTGTTTGGCACTTCAAAGCCCTGCCTCCTTCAGTGGGCGCCCACTCAAAGGCAGCACCTGGAGGAGGTGGGGCGGGCAAGTCAGGCTGCTGTTTCTGGAGGAGGCAGGGCTTCAGAGCACTAAGCACCTATCCAGGTGATAAACAAACCAGCACAAACTGCCAAACCGGTGGTCTGGGCCCATCTCTACTCACTGATTATACACCTTGCCCTTTTTGAAAGTCTCAGACTGAATTCTACAAGAAACAGTTGGATGTGTGATGTCTCTGCACCAGTTCATGCAGGGCAGCACCCTAAAGTGAGAGAAAAAGCACATATGGCCACAAATCAACTTTCTCTCAACAGATATGTATAAATTGGTATGTTTGGGGTTGGAATGGAGAGGAAAAATTAATACGGCTAATAAATTCAAAAAAGCATGGGCCTCTTTTCTGACATCTGAAAATCAACTGATGACGAATAATATCATCAAATCTGACTGACCTGTCATGAATGAGGACAGGAATTTGATCTATTCCCTATAATTCTTTTTAAATTACTGTCTTATAGGTGACTAGATAGGAAATGTACTGTATAAACAAATAGTGTAATGTACATATAAGACCAGAATAAATAATAAACCTTGGAAATTGTAACAAATCCAAGGAAAAAAACTAGGCTGGAAGCTTTTCAGTGTAATTTGGTTCTAGGCAATGCTCACTCTAAAACAACTCTCCCAAAATAGGAATGAGATGGAACCCTCCTCACATCAGAATTGTATCACCCATTTCTCACATGTTTAAATATGCCCTATTTTGAGAAGTTAAATCATGTTTGATGTGTATTACCTCTGCAAACAGTACTTGAGATCTCACCTGTGCACAGCATATGAAAGCAATAGAAAGAGCCAATAAGAAGATGGAAGATACAACTACATCAACAGATCGCTGTGGGCCTCGCCTCTGCCAAAACAAACAAACAAACAAACAAAAATGTAATCAGAGCAAAGAAGAAGCACAGTAGATTGGAAAGGACCACAGAGAGGAAAAGAAATCTGCTGCAATACCATTTATATGCTAAATATTGCAGCACACAATCCTCTCTAGTACTTGAATCTTCTCATTAACTTAGACTCACCTTCAGATAGGAGCGAAGTGATAACCAGATCTTAATGTTTTCCACTTTCTTGAGTCTGAAGTGTGGGATTTCATATTTTCTGGCTTTTCGAGCAGAGGTAATGTGGCTAAAAAGTTTAGCAAACAGAAAACGCTGCAAAAGAATAATCAGTGCCAATCATAGCAAACTGTACACTGATGATATTTGATAACCACCACCCATATCCTTTTTTTAAATTACTACTGCTTTTACTACAACACCTATACTCATATGCTAAACAGAAATAATATTTTTATGAATGGTTTGATCACACATTTCTCTGCAGTAACAACATTACTGTAAAATATGAAATGAAAAGGTAAGCAGGCACATGTACAGTAAGTACTGGTGAAACTTACAACTTGATGACACCACACCCATTCTTGGAACTATAAGCATCATTACAGAGAGAGGAGCAGGAGGAGAGGCATGGCGTGGCACTTAATGTGGCTATTAATGGCAGCCACGTAGCTCTAAACACTTCATTATGTAGACTAACCTGTTTATATGTTCTCTCAGCAACACACATCATGAAGAAAAACATCCAGGTGAGGCACAGGCGCTCAAGGAAGATGATTATTGCAAGTATAACAACAGGGGGAATTGTGGGAGCTCCGCAAAAGATATATAAAAGTTCTTTTACAGAAAGGGACCACAACTGCTCCAAAGTTTTTGAGTGGAAAAGTCGATACAGGAAGGGAAGGAAGGCTAAACCAATTGTAACAACATTTCCCAGCCACTGATATCCAGCTCCTTGTTGATAGGCATTGACCTATTCATTAGGAAAGCAAGATCAAAAATATACAGATTAAGTTTTAATTAAAAGCTCAAGAATTTTAGTCAACTTAAAATCTGCACAAATACCATTATGAAAAATACCATTATGAAAAATACTACATATCAACAAAACAGAAATTCATAAAATAACGTAGCAAAAGAAATTATATAGTCACCTCACTGAAGATTTTCACATACACATTAAGGATAACTTGTGTGCCAAACACACTGCCCGAAGGGAAAAATATTTTCCACTAGTCTTTGGAAGACACGCCATATTCTGTCCTCAAAAGAAAACACCCTCTGCCATGCTACTAAAGGCAAACCGTACAAACCCCACAGTCACCACCTGTGTCACCCAGCAGGCATATCGAACAAGATTTCACCCAATGTGTATAACACTCACCCGGCTCATGATGATCCCACTGATCTCCAGCACAGACATGTCCACCTTCTTGCACTCATTCCCTTCCCAGATGAGAGCACTCACTTTGGTAGAAGCAGGGCTTGTGTTCTGCAGCCAGAACAGATGGTTCTGAGGAAGAAAATGCATCTTGGAACCAAATTCTGGAATATCAGTATCATGAGGAGAAAAAGTTTCAGACCAGCAGCTTTAATGATATACTGTATTAGCAAATATGTTTTCACTTATAGAATCCTGTTCAAGAGATCGACGCTATATAATAAACATGAATACTGGCATAGCCCAAGCTTTTATTCTCCTTGAGCACTCTGGATGCCATATTGCCTACAGCAAAATACCATTACCCTAAACATCTTGCAGACAGATGTCTCAGGCCATGAACTAGAAACTATGAGAAGATTATTTTTTTACTGAAAGACTGATCTATAGCAGTTATGGACAGAAAACTGATGTGATCTTCCAATTAACAATGACAACAGTCAAAATAACTCCACTTCACCTCATATAATGCTGACATTTAGAAAGCCTGGAATAATCAGGAGCAACATTCCCTCTTAAGGTGTGTGGACGTGCAGGTAAGCAGAGCTCCATCAGAGCTGTGCAGTGACATCCAGGGTTGATATTTCAGAAGAAACTCCCCTCCCCTCATGCAGATAGGTGAGGCTCCCATGCATCAGGGATGAAAATTAGAGGGAATGTTGACCAGGAGTGTATTTTTTTGTGGAAGGACTATGTCCATGCACATTTTCTGTGCTTCCTGTTGTGTGTAAATAGTGCATTCAATTTTCCAAACAATGCACCTCAACAAATGGCACAATGAAGCAACAAAAGCCCTAGTCAATAGATACCTACCAAGTATCACTATGCTCAGAGAGGAATTACTAGCTCCTCTCTTCTTCCTCAATGCTTTCTCCATATGGTGGTTGAGATGTCTGAAAAAGTCTACATGAAAGCATTAGTTTTTCCTTTTCAAACACATCATTCTCCACATGGAGAGGATGACAATAAAAGGGGAGGCGTTAGGCACTCCCTTCTAAGTATGCTGATATCACAAAAGAGGACAGTGACTGAATAGGGTTGAAGTTGTACAGAAATCCCTGAAAAATGAATTTCAGGTACAAAATCAACTACTGGAAATTTTATCACCCTACAGCTAGCTTTTTATATTGATTAATTCACGGCTACAAGTAACATATGGGATAAAGTTTTGCATGTTACAGACCTGCTGGAAAACGTCCTCCTTGAGATCCCGTTTGCTCCCTTTTGTATCTCTTGCTTTGGCTTCCTCGCTGTCACTGGTGTAGGAAGAGCGGCACTCAGGTCCATGAAGCAGGTCATCCCACAGCATATCCTCTGTTTCAGAGTCATGGCGGGTGCTTTCTGAATCTCTTTGGGATATGCTGCCACTGCGAGAGCCACTACTATAAAGTGCTTTGGGTTCCTATAAAGAAACATCAAGCTATCCCTTACTCACAATCCTGATTCAACTGATACCAGTCATTAAACCCTTGCTAACTTCAATGGAGTCATGGCTGATTCAATTTAAATGGAGATCATGCAAGCAACTGAAGTCCAATCCTACTCCTAGCACGGACAATGTTCTAGTCAACTCCTATTGCCCTCTATGGTTTTAGAATGATCTCGTATAGTTTTCCACTGGCTCCGTTAGTCCATGGAACAACTCTGTCAGAGAAGAAAAAGAATCATACCCACTTCAGTTCAGGAAATAAAATTTCCAAAGAGCAATATCAGCATGCGTGTATAACACAAAATACATGCCTCACATACAGTGTGACTAAAATAATCAAATGGCCAGATTTAACAAGTGAAAAGGTACATCACACATGAACATTTTATTCCTACAACAAGAATATGTTCCCTTTTATTCTTTCCTACAGGCCTTAGTATGCTATTAGGTCTGACTAAGCTGGCTGAATAGCTCAGTTGAGATAGTTACTTGGCTTGGAAGGTAGTCAGTGCTTGGAAGTTTGATTCCCCCCTGTGCCTCCCAGGAGAAGAGCCAGCCTTTGTAGCCTTGGGCAAGCTTCATAGTCCCTGAACTCCCCACAGAAAGAGGAACTAACAATCGATTTCTCAGTACTCTATACCTAATAAACTATGGAAAAGATTGCCATAAGTTGGAATCAGTTTGATGGTACATCATCACTATCATCATCATTTAAAAATACAAAACACAGTCTTTGACTGGTATTATCTATCTCCTGAGACAGGAAGCAACAGTTAGAACTGGATATGGAACAACTGCTTGGATCAAAACTGGGAAAGGAGTACGACAAGGCTGTATATTGTCCCCCTGCTTATTCAACATATGCAGAATACATCATGCGAAAGGTTGGACTGGAGGAATCCCAAACTGGAATTAAGACTGCCGGAAGAAATATCAACAACCTCCGATATGCAGATGATACCACTGTGATGGCAGAAAGTGAGGAGGAATTAAGGAACCTTGTAACGAAGGTGAAAGAGCAGAGTCCAAAAACTGGTCTGAAGCTGAACATCAAAAAAACTAAGATCATGGCCACTGGTCCCACCACCTCCTGGGAAATAGAAGGGGAAGATATGGAGGCAGTGACAGATTTTATTTTCTTGGGCTCCATCATCACTGCAGATGGAGACAGCAGCCATGAAATTAAAAGGTTCCTGCTTCTTGGGAGGAAAGCGATGACAAGCTTTGACAGCATCCTAAAAAGCAGCGACATCACCTTGCCAACAAAAATCCGCATAGTCAAAGCTATGGTTTTCCCTGTAGTGATGTATGGAAGTGAGAGCTGGACCATAAAGAAAGCTGGCCGCCAAAGAATTGATGCTTTTGAATTGCGGTGCTGGAGGAGGTTCTTGAGAGTCGCCTGGACTGCAAGGAGAACAAACCTGTCCATTCTAAAGGAAATCAACCCTGAGTGCTCACTGGAAGGACAGATCCTGAAGCTGAGGCTCCAATACTTTGGCCATCTCATGAGAAGAGAAGACTCCTTGGAAAAGACCTTGATGTTAGGAAAAACCTAAGTTTCAGTTAAATATTGGTGTAATATGTATGCTATTCCTTATACTGCAATTTTTTGCAGGAAATCTGCAGCTGATTATAAAATTTCATAAAATTTCACAGCATTTTTCCCAATGCCCTGATGACTGTAGGGAACATTGAAACATGTTTCATTCAGAAGTGAGTTATTTCTATTGCCAGGTCCCTGTATTTTGCTAATTTTTCTAATTCATCATCAACACCGCTATAAACATACTTCTTCATTCTTAGTATTGGTGTTCAGGGGGCAGACCCAAGGGTCAAGTTTAAAAATTACAAGTTGAGTGTTAAAATTCTAAAGGTGAAGTAACATGTTTGCAAAATCACTGAACCTTGAATTTCAAGAAGTGAATTAGTAGTTATTGACAATTGTTTTAAATTGGTAGCCGAAGATTCTGGAATGACAATACTGATTATTAAATACAATTAAATTTAAATTAGCTACAGGTATATTAAAATATTTAGCCAAATAATAATAATAACCAGTAGGTACTAGATACTAATCAGCTCTCCCTTGACTTTGAACTTGTTAGTAAGCCTTCATTGCAGGCTATGCAAGGAATAATGAAAGTAATTCAATTTTCAACTAGAAACTATCCCATACATTTATTTTTCCATTGCCATTTTTCTGCTTGAAGTTACAAGGTGTCAGCAAAGCACCTATCTTCTCATATAAGGACAATTCTAATTTTGAAAAGGACGACAGCCCAAGCTATTGTCTCCAGAATCTTCCCATCACATAACATATGGCAATAATCTGTAATTTGGAATACCTCATGAAACACTGTTGCATCAAGTTCCGATTCAGCTATACTGTCAGAATCTTGTATAGATTTCACAACCTCTTTGACCTGTCACAGAACACACACTCACAAAATAAATGGAATACATGAAAATGTGGGAAACCTTCAAAATAATACAGTCTGTGTCTTATATTAGAAAAAGGAGATTCTCTTTTATTTCAAACATATACTAAACATCCTCCAACAAGGTTCAAACTTTCTTCCCAACCTTCCTCCAATGATCTTCATCACAGAGAGCATGCAACAGTTTAACACTCCATTAATACTCCTTTCCTCTTCTTTATCATTTAACATGCTATGAAACAAGCTGAAACAAAAAAAAAATCCTAGCTCTACTTCACACTTCTTCATTGCCATTTTTTGAATAGCAAATTCAGTTGACATCCCAATTAGGATTTTACCATTATTTGCATACACATCATTCTCTATTACTTAAAACCTCCCAACATTACGCAGTGTATGCAGTCACACAAAACTCAAGTGATCTCAGTTAAACCTGTAAGGGGAACCAACTACAGCCCTCTCAGAAGATTCAAACCTCCTCTTATTTTTTAACTTTCTATATACCTGATGTGAGGTCATTTGTTAATGAGAATCCTCACCTCTGTATGGCTTGCCAGAACAGGTATTTGCTCTAGCCAATATCAACTATAATTTATTTAAGAACTTGATATTGTAACCTATCCAATCTACTTTACCTAAATTTAAATAAAATGTTCATTTTTATCTTTTTTTATTGTGTCTGAAATACTTGTGTTTTTGAAATAAATCTACCATTTAAATTTATATTTTTCTCTGATGTTACTCTGGAATAAGCAGTTATTGTGAACGACAGGCCAAAATCTTGTTGCTTTCATATAGCGGCAGAAAGCAAACAGTGTAACTTGCAATGGTTTCTCATTGGCACTTAACATTCACCCCCTTGGATTTTCACGCGAGTGCCAGGCCAACAGGAAGGCTGATAGCACTCAAAAATCCAAATAGAGATTTGTTAGTTTCCAGTCAAAAGCCACAGCAAGTTACAATATTTCCCTTCCACAAATGTAACTATGCAACAATATTCTAGCTGCTACAAGTTAATTAAAAGCTGGGATGATGAATCAATAATTACTTCTTTGACAATAATCCTTACCTGTGATATTGACTGATTTGGAACAATATAAGAAGAACCAAGAGAAGACTTCCTGCTCTGATTTTCAGTCTCATTAATACTAGGGGCACCTTCCACGCTTCGGCGTAGCAAAATTCTTTGACTTGCAAAATCTGTTTCTTCCTCACTTGACAGCTCATCAGAAATCCCGGAGCCTCTGGTATTACTCTGAAAGAACAGCAGCCAGAATTAAAGTTAGTCAACATCAACCAGATGAGATACTTCATATTCATGCAATTTGTTTGGACTACAGCAACCAATCAGTAGAAAATCTCTGTATCAGCAGAAAATGCCTTTATAAGAGCACATGCGAGGTAAGGTAAGAAGATAAAGACACAGACTACCTTATAGTTGTACTGAGAAGAAATGTCACAAAACTTTAGCATCAGCAACAATAATAGAAACTATATTATCATTTCACCCTCCTAAAAGTATTGGAGCTGAAATTGTGAGACAGATGTTTCGGTTGTTATCATGGAGACCTGTACAGCATACAACACCTTATTTCTCTACCAAATGTCTAAGGGAAAGCATGGTACAGTGTAGGATGGGGACATGTCATGTTAGACTTAATTCAAACAACAGTTGTAAAAGAAGGAGCCATATGTACTACCTTAAGCTCTCTAGAGAAAAGCTGGTGTAAAAAGCAATTAAGAATAATCAAATTCTTCAGATGCCGGCCACAGAGACTGGCGAAACATTAGGAAGAACAACCTTCAGAACACGGCCAAAGAGCCCGAAAAACCCACAACAACCATTAGATCCTGGCCGTGAAAGCCTTCGCGAATACAATGATCAAATCAATAATAGTAATTCTGAAAGCAGTATTTCCATATGCAAAGCAACTGAAGGCAGTCTGAGCCACAAAAGCAACTTGTGACTTCAAGCAGAAGAAAAACAAAGACGTTGCACAGTTAATTACCTTCTGTGCAAACATCAGGCAAGCTGAAACTGAAACTTAAATATGCATTTTTATGTTTAAATAAATTTCAGATAATAATAATCTCTGCTGACTGGGGCAAAACTCATTTTACAAGGCTACATTCCACACTTTCTAGAATTTTCAGATGTTAAGAGATTTAATTCATACAAAATAGATCTGAATTTCTGTCTGTAAAATCAGTGCATTAAATCCTGATCTTACCTGGCTTTTTGCCAGACTTATTAGAATTCCAGGCTCCTTGGACCGCTGCAAACTATGCTCAGATCTGGAAGCTCTACACTTTGTACTGCTGCTAGGCTCTGTTTCAGTTCCTTTATCAGCTACTCGTTTTCCCCCCTTCATCCTAAAGAACGAAATACAGGAGATTGCACATATTCCTCCCACACACTTTAAAATAAAATAGCTGAGAGCTTACAGAATTCCCCCATGACTTGATCTAACGCCGAAGGAGGCCTGGAGAGAAATAACAAGAAACTGGGCCTTCTCGGCAGTGGACCCTCACCTTTGGAACAGTCTGCCCTCAGAGATCTGTCTGGCTCCCTCACTGGGTGTTTTTAAGAGCCAACTTAAGACCTGGCTCTTTAGGCAGGCTTTCCCTCCTGTCATTATTTGATTACTTTTATTTTTTCCCCATCTTGAACCATATTACTATTGTTGCTTTTTATTTTATTATACTGTTTTTATTCCATTTTTATTGTTAGCCACCCAGAGTAGACTTGTGTCTAGATGGGCGGGGTATAAATTTCATAAATAAATAAATAA